TAGGATATTTTCCTAGAAGAGGGAACACTTGGTCAAATGGCAGTTCCATATTTAATTTTTTGAGAAACCTGCATGCTTTTTTCCATAATGTCTGCGCCAGTCTGCATTCCCACCAGCAGTGTATGAGGGTTCCCTTTACTCCATGTCCTCACCAACAATTGTCGTTTATTGATTTATTGTTGATAGCCATCCTGATAGGTGTGAGGTGATACCTCATTGTCATTTTAATTTGTTTCTCTCTGATGATTAGTGAATTTGGGCATGTTTTTTATGTCTCTTAGTAATTTATATGTCCACTTTGGAGAAGTGTCTATTTAGGTCCTTTGATCATTTTTAAATTGGATTGTTTGTCTTCTTTTTGTTAAGTTGTATAAGTTCCTTATATATTTTGGATAGTAATCATTTATCAGATGTATCACTGACAAATATATTCTTTCATACAGTGGCTCCCTTTTCATTTTGTTGACGGTTTCTTTTGCTGTGTAGAAGCTTTTTATTTTGAGGTAGCCCCACTTGTTTATTTTTTCCTTAGTTTCCTTTGGCCTAGGACAGTGATGGCGAACCTATGACACGCATGTCAGAGGTGACACACGAACTCATTTTTTTGGTTGATTTTTCTTTATTAAATGGCATTTAAATATATAAAATAAATATCAAAAATATACATCTTTGTTTTACTATGGTTGCAAATATCAAAAAATTTCTATATGTGACATGGCACCAGAGTTAAATTAGGGTTTTTCAAAATGCTGACACGCCGAGCTCAAAAGGTTAGCCATTACTACCCTAGGAGATGTATTCAGAAACATATTGCTACAAGATATGTCTGAGATTTTTCTGCCTATGGTTTCATCTAAGATATTTATGGTTTCATAACTGACATTTGTCTTTTATCCAGTTTGAGTTTATTCTTGTGTATGGTGTAAGTTGGTGGTCTAGTTTCATTTTTTACATATATCTGTGCAATTTTCCCAACATCACTCATTGAAGAGACTATCTTGACTCCATTGTATGCTCTTGCCTCTTTTATCAAATACTAGAGGCCTGGCACACAAAATTCATGCACGGGTAGGGTCCCTGGGCCTGGCCAGCAATCAGGGCCAATCAGGGCCTTCCTGTTGCCGGCCAGGGCCTCCCTTTGTTCTGCACTGCCCCCTGGTGGTCAGTGCATGTCATAGTGAGCAATTGAACTCCCAGTCTCCCAGTCAAACTCCTGAGGGTAAATTTTGCATGTTAGGCTTATATATATATACTAGAGACCTGTTGCACAAAATTTGTGCACTTCGGGGGAGGGGTCCCTCAGCCTGGCCTGTGCCCTCTCGCAGTCCAGGAGCCCTTGGGGGATGTCCGACTGATGGCTCCCCCATGGGGGAGCGGGCCTAAACCTGCAGTCAGACATCCCTAACGCTGCCATGTAGGTGGGAGAGGCTCCTGCCACTGCCACTGTGCTCACCAGCCACGAGCCCGGCTTCTGGTGCACTCACCACCAGGAGGCAGCTCCTGCGTTGAGCATCTGTCCCCTGTCGGTCAGTGCACTTCATAGCGACCAGTCATTCTGCCGTTTGGTCTGTTTGCATATTAGCCTTTTATTCTATAGGATGTGGTCA